GCCGCGCCGGGGCCACCGCCTCCGGGTGTGACGTCACCGCGCACAGCGCGCCGCTTCCGGTTAAGGACGGCGGGGAGGGGCCCGGCGGGCTTGTTGTCATGGAAACGCTGAAGGGGCGCGGTTTGTAGGCAGTGGCAACGATAGGGGGAGTGGCCTGTGGCCAAATAAATAGGATGAGGCTTCTCGTAAAAGGGGGCGTGGGCTGTCAACGAGAGAATGGAAAGGGAGGCACGGCCTGTCGCTATGGCAACGGGAGAAGGTGTGGCCTGTTTTCAAGGCAAAGGGGAGGGGTGTGGTCTGTCGTCATGGCAACAGGGGCTTGTCGACAAGGGCGTGTGGCCTGTAGCCAGGGCAACAGAAACCGAGGAAACAGGGAGGGGCTTCCAGTCGAAGGGGCGTGGCCTGTCACCAAGGGAGTGGCCGGGTTCCAAGGCAATGGAAGGGGGCGTGGCCAGTTGCCAAGGTCATGGGAGGGTGTGTGGTCTATTTTTAAGGCAACTCTAGGGGCATGGTCTGTTGCTATGACAACGTGGTCATGGCCTGTCACCAGGGCAACAGGGAGAGGCTTCCCCAAAAAGGGGACATGGGGGCTGATGGGACGTTGACCCCAACACCATGAAAGGGGATTGACCCCAAATCCAGGACATGATTGACCCCAACCCGCGATGGAACTTTGACCCCAACACCATGACTAGGTTGACTCCAACACTGGGATGGATGATTGATCCCAACACCATGAAAGGGGGTTGACCCCAAATCTGGGGCACGATTGACCCCAAATCCAAGATGGGACTTTGACTCCAAATCTGGGACAGAGTTGGTTGACCCAAACCCAAGATGGGACTTTGACCCCAAATCTGGGGCATGATTGACCCCAAAGCAAGATGTGAATTTGACCCCAAAAACGGGGCATGATTGACCCCAAAACCAAGACAGGGGTGACCCCACACCAGGACACAACTGCCCCTACCCCTGGAGCATGGGGATGACCCCCAAAAATATATTACTCTCCCCAATAAATTACAGCTCTCCTGGCCCCACAGACCCTGTGGGGGACCCCCAACTGTGGAGTGACCCTGAGGTGAGGGGTCCCCAAGGTGGCGGTGACCTCAATGTGGGGTGACCCCGATGTGGGATGACACCCTCCCTCCCATGAGGCGCTCAGGGCTCTGTCACCTGCCCCACAAAGAGGATGGTACCTGTGGGGGGAGAGAGGGGTCAGGGAGCCCCCCCAGACCCAAATCTGTGGGGCAGAGACCCACCCAGACCCAAATCCAAGGGTCACAGACCCACCCAGACCCAAATTCGTGGGGAACAGACTCCCCTAGATCCAAATCCATGGAGCACAGACCCACCCAGACCCAAATCTGTGGGGCACAGACCCCCCCCTCCCATAAATGGGACATGAAACACCCCCAGACCCACATCTAAGGGGCACAGACCCTCCAGAACCACATAAATGGGACATGAAGCCCCCCAGACTCAAATCCAAGGGGCACAGACCCCCCCAAACCCAAATTCAGTGGCAACAAAGCCCCCCCAAACTCACCTCCATGCCTCCCAGGTGCCCCTTCCCACCTTGTGTGTGTTCCCCCTGCCAAACCCTCCCACCCCCAAATCCCCAAATACCTGTGGGGCCATGTCGGATGAGGAAGAGGAAGGGCCGATCCAGGATGATTTCCAGGGGGGCCATTCGGGAATAAACAATGGCAGCTGTGGGAAAGGGGGAGCAGGGGGAAGGGGAAATGAGATCCAAGGGGGTCTTGGAGCCCTCTCCAAGCCCACCAGTGCCCCCCAGGGACCCCTAGGACTCCCCAGGGACCCCCAAGAGCCCCCCAGACACCCCCAGGGACACCCTGGAGCCCCTCAAGGACCCCCAGGACCCCCCAGAGACTCCCCCAGGGACTCCCAGGACCCCTCAAGGACCCCCCCAGTGCCCCCAGAACCACTCTGGACCCCCTCAGGGACTCCCAGGACTCCCCCAAGGACCCCCCAATGCCCCCAGGACCACCCAGAGATCCCCAGACCGCCCCAGGGGCCCCCAGTGTCACCCACCGGTGGCTGAGGCCACCTCGGTGCCGTTCTCGGTCACCTCCATCCGGACCCTCTGCAGAGCCTGGCCCAGCACCAGGTGCTCCTCCCCTGGGAAAAGGAGTGGTCGAGGGGGATCCTGAGATCCCCACAGGGACCCCCAGACCCCCCCAGGGATGCCCAGGACCCCCAAGACCCTCCTAGGACCACTCCAGTGCCCCCCCCAAGGACCCCTGGAATGCCCCAGGGATCCCCAGGACCCCCTAAGGACCCCCCAGACCCCCCCCGTGCCCCCCCAGGGCCCCCCAGGGACCCCCAGGGACCCCCAGGGACCCCCCCGGCCCTCCCCTGGACCCCTGAGACCCCCCCAGGGACCCTCCCAGGGACCCCCCAGTGCCCTCCCAGTGCCCCTCCAGACCCTCCCAGTGTTCCCCCCAGCGCCCCCCAATGACCCCCAGGAGCCACTCCCATGCTCCCCATCCCCCCCTTTACCTGAGAGGGGGGTGAAGTCGGCAGCCTCGGGGTCGAAGAGGTCAAGGACCCCCAAGGACTTGAGGGGGGGCCGCAGGTCCCACGTGGTCTCCAGGGAGAAGCTGGAGGGGGCGGGCAGGGGGTGATCTCCAAGTGTCCCCAGGGGTCCAGGGGGTCCCTGTTCCCATGTCCCCAGTGTCCCCAGGGGCCTGGGGGGTCCCTGTTCTCAAGTGTCCCCAAGTGTCCTCAGGGGTCCAAGGGTCCCTGTTCCCCCCCCTCCTCCCCCCTCAGTGTCCACAAGAGTCCAGGGGGACCTGGGGGTCCCAAGGGGTCTGAGGGATTCTCTTTGTCCTCAATGTCCCTAATGTTGTCCCCCCAGCGTTCCCCCTCAATTCCCCCCCCAGTGTCCCCAGTGTCCCCCCTCAATGTCCCCCCCCAGTGTCCCCAGTGTCCTCAGGGGTCCAGGGGAACCTGTTCCCCCCCTCCCCCCAGCGTCCTCAGCTGTCTCCAAGTGCCCCCAGTGTCTCCAATGTCCCCCCAGTGTCCCCTCCCCGTGTCCCCAGGGGTCTCACCACGGCAGGACAAGCAGGCGGGGGGCAGGGCTGAGGTTGGTGACCCAGTGGGTGACACGGGGACTGTCCAGGAGGCGGGTGAGGGTGACAATGGGGACATCCCGTTCCAGGGGGGCCACCAGCAGCATGGACACCGCCCCCCCCTCATACGGGACCTCCACCACCGAGTACGGGACCCCCGCGGGCGTCTCGAATTCCCCTGGAGGGGTTTACAAGGGGGGGGTCAGAGGGGACATGAGGGAGGCGGGGGAAGGGAGGGGCATGGGAGATGGGGGACATGAGGGGGACATGGTGTGACACAGGTGACACAGTGGGTGACACGGGGGGGTAACACAGGGGTGGCAGGGAGTGACAATGGGACTCCAGGGGTAACATCAGGGGGTCCCAGGGTGACACAGAGGGTGACATAGGGGAGGGGGTGGCACAGGTGACACAGGGTGTGACACAGAGTGACACAGGGGGGTGACACAGGTGATGCAGGTGACACAGATGACATAGGGGGTGACACAGGTGATGCAGGTGACACAAGGGATGCTAGGGGGGTGACACAGGGAGGTGACACAAGAGGTGACACAGGGGGGTGACACAGGTGACACAGGGGGTGTCGGGGGGGTGACACAGGAAGGTGACACAAGAGATGACGTGGGGGGGTGACACGAGTGACACAGGTGACGCAAGGGGTGACACAAGGGGTGACACAAGGGGTGACACGGGGAGATGACACAGGGGGGTGACACAGGGTGACATAGGCACCCCCGGGGTGACACGGGGGGGGTGACACAGGTGACACAGGGGGATGACACAGGGTGACACAGGGACCCCCGGGGTGACACAGGAGGGGTGACACAGGTGACACAAGAGGTGACACGGGGGGATGACACAGATGACACAAGAGGTGACACGGGGGGGATGTCTCACCGCAGCGGAACGTGCCCGCCCGGGCCATCATGGGCACCGCGACGTCGCTGCCATCTGCCCTGCGGAAGGGGCGGGCGCGGGTGGCCCGGGGGGGGGAAGGGGGTCGCCCACCTTCCCCGAAAGAACTGCGCGCTCGCCACCACCAGGCGCGTGCGGGGACCCAGAGCCCCGGGGGGCACCAGGGACCCCAACAGACCTGGGAAGGGGGCGGCACACGGGGAGGGGGTCAGGGACACAGTGACCCCCCCCGGAAAGGGACACGGGGGTCCCCATAACCATTGACACACCCCCCCCCCCCAAAAGGGTCCCAGGGGTCTCCACACCCACTGACGTCCTCCCACAAAAAAGGGACACGAGGGTCGGGGGGGCAGGGGGGACACAGTGATCCCCCCAAAAGGGTCCCAGGGGTCTCCACAACCTCTGAGCCCGCCAAAAAGGGATCTCCCACCCATCACCCTCCACCCTGGGGATCTCTGAACCCATCAACCACCCCCCTCAAAATGGTCCCAAACGCCCCCCACCCCCCCCCCCAGGAACCCCCCGGCCCCCCCCCCCCCCCCCCCACTCCCCACCCCGGGGGTACCAAGCCTCCTCCCCCCACCCACCACCCTGAGGGTCCCAAACGCCACCCCCTGCCCCTCACCCCCCACCCCGGGGGTCTCACCCTTCGTCCTCTCCCGCACCCAGGAGTCGAGGAGGGTCCGTGCCCCCTCCCGCCGAGCGAAGTCCACCCGGGCCACGCTGCGGGGTCCGAGGGCTCGGAGGGCCCGGCGGGCGAAGCCAGGGGTCAGCGCGACCCCCCGCCCCACAAAGAGCCCCTCGGCTACCGCCAGGCCCTGCCCGGGACCCCCCTCCAAGGCCCGGCGCAGCTCCCGCAGCTCCGCCGAGACCCCCGGGGCTGGGGAGGGGGAACAAACGGGATCAGGGAGGGGCAGGGGTGTCACCCACTGCGGGGGGAAGGGGTGGGGAGGGGAGGGGGACCCCAGGGTGGTCCTTGTGGGGGTGGGGACCCGCAATCCCATCCGAACATGGGGATAAAGACCCTGTCGATGGAGAAAAAGCCCCCCCCCATGGGGACAAAGACTCCCCCTCCATGGGGACAAGGACCCCAAAGTGTCCCCTGTGGGGGTGGGGATCCCCAATCCCACCCCCCATGAGGACAGGGGCCCCAAAGTGTCCCCAGTAGGGTCAGGGACCCCAATCTCACCCCAATATGGAGACAGGGACCCCAAAGTGTCCCCAGTAGGGACAGGGACCCCACATCCCACCCCCCATGGGCACAACGACCTCAAGGTGTCCCTCAGGGTGTCCCTCAGGGTGTCCTTTGGGGTGTGCCTGGGGTGTCCCTTGGGGTATTCTTCAGGGTGTCCCCTGAGGTGTCCCCTGGGGTGTCCCCAGTGTGTCCATGTCCCCCCCTATGGCCACAATGACCTCGACAACCTTGGCTTGTCCCCTGGATTGTCCCCTGGGGTGTCCCTTGGGATGTCCCTGAGGTGTCCCCTGTGGTGTCCCTGGGGTGTCCCTCAGGGTGTCCCCAGTGTGTCCACATCTCCCCCCTCCCCCCTGAGTGTGTTCCCCCCCTCACCGTCGATGCTGAACCCCAAGGCCTCCTCGAGCTGCCTCCGGCCCCGCCCAGCCGTGGCCACCTGGAGGGCCACCAGCACCGAGGTGGCCCCATGGGGGGCCAGGACCACATTGGTGTCCCCTCGGGGTCCCAAAGCCGCCCGGAAGAGCCGGAGCCCGAAATCCGTCACCAACTGAGACACCCGGCCCGGGACTGGGGTACCAGCACCCACCAGGGCCACCACGGCCACCACCAGGGCCACCAGCAGGGACGATGGGGACATCACAGTCCTGCAGGGACAGGAGAGTCACTGGGGTGGCCCCTGTGAGGACACTGGGGCTGGTCCCGGTCTCAGCCCCGGTCCCGGTCTCAGCCCCATTCCCAGTGCTGGTTCCAGTCCCAGTGTCAAGTCTAATTCCAGTCTTGATCCTAATTCCAATCCCAGTGCTGCTTCCAGTCCCCAACCCGATTCTAATCCCTGCCCTGCTGCTGGTCCCAGTCCAGATCCCAGTCCTGATGTCAGCCCTAACCTCAGCCCCAACCTCACCCCCAGTGCTGGTCCCAATCCTAATCCCAGTCCTGGTCCCAGTCCCAATCCTGGTGCTGGTTCCAACGTCAGTCCCAGTGCTGGTCCCAATTCAGGTCCCAGTCACAGTCCCAGTGCTGGTCCCAGTCCCAAACCCAGTTCAGGTCCCAGTCTCAGTCCCAGTGCTGGTCCCAATCCTTGTGTCAGCTCCCATCCCAGTCCCAGTATTGGTCTTAATTCCAGTTCTTCTGCTGGTCCCGGTCCCAGTCCCAGCCCCAGTCTTTGTCCTGGTGCTGGTCCCAGTCCCGCTGCCCCCTCACCTGGTCTCAGTCCTGGTGTTGCTTCTGTTGTCCCAGTATCAGCCTGGTTTTGGTCCCAGTATCAGCCTGGTTTTGGTCCCAGTGTCAGCCTGCTTTTGATCCCAGTATCCCAACTCTGCTCCTGGTGTTGCTCCCGCTGTCCTGGTCTTGGTCCTGCTCTCAATCCCAACAGACGTTGGGGCTTAGTCCTGGTGTCCTGGGATCAGTCCCAGTCTTGGTCCCAGTCTTGGTCCCAGTGTCCTGCTCTTGATCCCAGTGTCAGTCCTAGTGTCCCAGTGACATTCCTGGTATTGGTCCCAGTGTCTGCTGTTGGTTCCAGCGTCCCGCTGTTATTCCCGGTGTCCTAGGGCTGGTTCTGGTGTCCTGACTACAGTCACAGTGTCCTATTCCCAGTATTCTGCTCTTGTTTGTAGTGTCCTGATCCCAGTCCTGGTGTCCTATTCCCGGTGCCCTGATCCCGTTCACGGTGTCCTGATACCACTCCCAGTGTCCTATTCCTGGTGTCGTTCCCAGTATCCTGACTCCAGTCCCGGTGTCCCGATCCTGATTCCGATCCCGGAGCGGTTCCCGGTGTCCTGGTCTCAATCACGGTGTCCTGATCCAAGTCCTGGTGTCCTGAGCCTGTTGCCGGTGTCCCGTTGCTGGTGTCCCGATCCCGGCTCTGGTGCCGCCTCTGGTCCCGGCGGCGCCTTTAAAAGGTGGAGCGGGGGCGGGGGGAAGGGGGGGAGCGGGAAGGGGGGTATTTCCACGCGTGTCCCCCCCACGTCACCACCCATGTCCTGTGTCCCTTCTCGTGACCCCCGTGA